GGGTAGGCGGAGCGGGTACATGCAGCCGCTCCACTCGAATAACTCGCAGCGGCTGGAGAGGAGCGGGTGTGCCTGGCCGCTGCGCATCTATTTCTTGTGACGATTTTATGATTTTCTAAGGACCTTTTTGCAATTGTTGTGCACGTTTTTTGCACTTGGAAAACCTAATGTTTAAGCACCTTGTAGCCACCTTTTGGCATATTATCTTTTGATTATTGAAAGAACACAAAAACTCTTGAGAGAAATTGATCCTTTTGATTTCCATTGTATGTTCTTGTGCTTCTGTTGATTATTCCATCTGTTTCTCTACATGATTAATCTGAAATCCACCATGGGTTTAAGGATAATCATGGAGATTAGTGAGTAATCACCCCTTGGATTCATGGGTTAGGGTGATTTAGAGTGATTAGGTTAGAGCTAAGATGTTTTAAGTATAGATTTCTCTTGTTCCTTGCATATTAGAGTAGTCTTAAAGCCTCCTTTGAATTGATCACTCAAAGGTTGATCTCTAGACATTTCTCAGCCGACAGGTGTTCGATGAAATGTCTGAGTCAACTCCTTTAAGCTTTTAACAGTCTTTACCAGAGACACTTGTTGTTAAAGGTGTTAAAATGGCTATTAGATCCGTTCTTAATGATTGCTTGCATGTTATTCAACCAAAGACATTTGATGCTTGAGATGTGTTAGCAAATGAACATTCATCTAGACATAGAGCTTGTTTAGAATCGTATCTAAGCCTAAGGCAGACAGTTTAATTGATAGCTTGTCATCTTAGTTTGAACCTGATCACCCAAGGTCTAAATCCCAATACCCATGAGTTCTCCTTCCCAATAGTTTAAAAGTATCATTTTTGTTATTTGCATTCTAGTTTTAGTTAACTTCAAAACCAACCAAACATTCGATTGCACTTAGATTAAGTTAGTACTTGCATTCTCGGTGCTTTTAAATCCCTCAGAACTGGTTCGANTCTCCTTCCCAATAGTTTAAAAGTATCATTTTTGTTATTTGCATTCTAGTTTTAGTTAACTTCAAAACCAACCAAACATTCGATTGCACTTAGATTAAGTTAGTACTTGCATTCTCGGTGCTTTTAAATCCCTCAGAACTGGTTCGACAACTTACTTCACTATACAACATTTGACTAGGAGCCTTGAAAACTCTTAACACCATATCCTTTCTCTAATCTCCTTCCGGTTTACTCATCTCCTGGTTTTCTTTTCGTGCATACACACAGATCCGAGTTTCTCTAGTTCTTAATCCGATCGGTCTAATATTAAAACCAAACCGAACCGATACTCTCTAAGTTTTTATCATCAGCAATTAATGGACTCCACGTCAACGAGCTCTACCTCCGATCACTCTCGCCAGAAACGAAAAACAAAATCTCCACCGTCTCCATCTCCATGGAGATTGGAGAAGCAGCAACAGGTCTACACCACGAAGCTCGCACGTGCTCTAACGATCACTAAACCATCCTCCCTTCCTCACACCGTTAGAGCCGTGCGCGAAGTCGCGGACAGAGCCTTGGCGGTTACGGCAAGAGGCAAAACACTCTGGAGCCGAGCGATACTTTCCAAATCCGTGAAACTCAAATTCAGAAAACACAAACGTCAGAGAATCTCTAATCCGGTAATCACCACCGGGAGTATCCGGTCAAAGAAACAGAGAGCGACGGTTACGAGGGTTAAGGCTAAAGGTATGGCGTCTGTACAGAGGAAGGTGAAAGTGCTTGGCCGGTTAGTTCCCGGTTGTCGTGAACAGGCGTTACCTGTTGTTTTGGAAGAGACTACGGATTACATAGCTGCGATGGAGATGCAGATTCGCGCCATGACTGCTGTTCTAAACGCCGTCAGTTCTCCGACAGGTCGTGAAGGGGGACAAACACATGTGTTTGGTTAGTTGGCCTAACTGTCTTTTTCATTTTTTTTATATAATCAATATTTAAAAAAAAAAAAAAAAACTGTTTCTCGTTATTCTTCGTTGTGTTGTTTTCTGTTTGAATATTAACTGTTTCATGTCTTCATTTATATCCGTTTTCTTTAATCTCTCTATATTACTAAGAGTAAGACTACCACACGAAAGGAGGAAAGTGGTTGAGCCATGTAATGACAAAATAGAGTTACTGTTTAAGTGTTTGGTGAGTTATGATGATTGAAGGCAAGATGAAACAGTCGGAGATATAATTAATTAAGCTTTTTTGTTTTGTTTTGTTATATATGAAGTTAAAGGATGGTGATTGGAATTGAATTCACTTTGTTTGGATCTGTTACGAGTATGACATTTGTACGTTTGTTTCTTCTTTTGTAAATGTTATGTGGTTAGATTTCGGATATGCAAACAAAGTTTAAAAGGTAAAAAGAATCTAGCGAAGTTAACACAATCTATTGATCACATGGTTGAGAAAGACATAAATACAGTACATGAAATGATGATGACTCACATGCTGCGTTTCTGAAAAGAAGTGTATATAATCGACCACTGTATATGTTTTTCTGGCAAACTTAAATCTTCTTCTTTGTTTTGGTCGGCCAAAAGGCGCAGAATTTCGTGAAACTGTTACTAATATTTGGATGAATAGCGATAGCAAAACAAATGAAAAGACAAGTTAAATGAAACATAATCTTTCTGACACACGTCATGTGGTTTATGCATTATCTCCAGCTTTAAATACTTGTATACAAAACCCTAAAACCCCACCAACATCTTATATTTTTGTTGCACATGTGATGCTTTAAATTGGATACACAATGAAATCTTTGAACAGATTTACTCCTGAAGAGATGTACTAGAAAGAAAAAATTTATTACTTAGCACTATAGTCTGGCACAAAACAAATCATTGAAGAATATAGTAGATGCAATGATGCATTACAAAATTGTAGTAAGACACTAAAACAATTATATTTTATCTACACAGAAAGAGTAATAATCATACAGAATTATATATAAATATTCAACTAAACTGAATATATAGCATTATTTTAAGGAATAGTTGGAATGTTTGTGTATTAGTCTTAACTATTGCGTAGCTCTAGATACTCTTGCAAATAATAACTATGTGTGGGTTGAACTGAACCCTTAGATTGGTGTTGGTGGTTATCTTATTGATGATCGTAAATTAGTGGTTGTATACGAGGGTGTGGATGGCCATGTGTTCGTCAAAACAATTGATGTCTTTCTCAAAAAAAAAAAAAAACAATTGATGTCCACAAAAAATAAATAAAAATAGTAAGCAAGAGGAGCGCACATGGATTAAACCATCGTATACTCTTACCTTTAAGCTGCTTTTGGTTAGCCTCTCTATCTTGATTGTAAATAAAGACCTATTTATTGGTCTTATTCCGATCACCTTTACTTATCAACTATTCCAATCACTTAACTTGTCGGTTTAGATACACTGTATATACTTTTGGTGATCATAGATTAAATTGAGATGGAAGAAAACTACAAAAGAGCGAAGAAACAAAACTAAGATGTAAATGTTGATTTTGAAAGATGTATTTTAGAAAGTATTACAGTTCTATTTATATGTATGTGTGTGTGTGTATTATCACAAATTTGTTTTTTTTGTATGAAGCGTTGTTAGTTTAGAAGTTAAAAATAATTATTGGAAGGGTTCCTATTTTCTAAGACTGAGTTTGTGATATTTTTATTAAACTCTCGGACAGGTTAGTAACATAAAAAGCTTGAACGCTATTAGAAGAGATATAGGTAGTAGAATTTTTATATTATAAACAAAAATAAGTATAGTGCAAGAGATATAACAGAGCACCATCGGTTAAATGTATCATTTTGTTCTTATTTTTGCAAAATGATCTAGGGTTCTATTTATGTATATACCCACAGAGAAGAAACTACGAAAGTGAGAGATGACAAAAAACATCAATTAAGTTTGATAAGAATACAATAAGAGTGATGGACAAAACTGTTAACAAGTTTCAGTCCAATAGGCAGATATAAATATTGTACGTGCAATAAATACAATACGAGTGATGGACACATCTGCGGCTCTCACTAAATTGTTTTTCTTCATATTATTCCATTACATTCCGTTACAGCATTATACATGCATATTAAGACCTTATTAGATTAAAAAAAAGTTACAACAACAATACTTTGAAGACAAAGACATACGCCTTAATTATTTTGTTGACCTTATTCATGCATACGCAAACAAACTTTATTTGGTCATGAGACAAAACAAAAAACAAACAGAAAATGGGAAACACACCGTGATCAAATATAAAGCATACTCAGTTGATTGGAATCAGTTAACGGACGAGGTTAAAGGCACCTGGAATGAGATTGAAGATGTTGAGGCCGCCGCCGGTAGCGGTTCCGAGTAGAGCTAAAGGTGCCTGGAGTAAACCACTGGCAGGGAGGTTGACGTTGCAGGCGGTGAGAGGAGTCGTGACGATGATCCTACAACCGGAGGAGAGGAGTGTTGAAGGCGAAAAGATGGCTCCAAGAGTAGGAATCGAGAATACTCCATTAGCGTTCGTAGTCGTACTTGAAACATTTTGCCCCGCGCACTGCAACACTATTCCCGCATCTGTTTGTTTATTTGCACCACTATATGTAATTAGCAAATTTGTACATTTAAATATTATATCATGAAAATGATACATATAGTAACACATATTAACGCATGGTTGATCGAAAAGAATAGAAATTTTACTAGGGAAAGGAGGAACGGAAGTCGCGTTATTGGTAGAGACTGTGCCAGTGATAGAGCACATGAGAAGCCCTTCGATATTAAAGATACTCGTAAGCCCGCCAAGAAGCCCACCAAGACCGCCAAGCCCACCAAGCTGAGCATTAGCAATTGGCGACACCACAATGAGACACATCATGATCAACGAGAAGGTTATGTTTTTGTTCCTGATCATTGCCATGTTCTTAGGATTACAAAAAGACTAAATGTATATGAAACTATAGAGTAGAGATTTGTGTTGTAGTTGGTTTTGGATGTGATGAAGTGATGTCTTGCAGCTCTATTTATAGAACAAGTTTCATAGTCCTCGCCCTTCCCACTTACTTTGCTTTCATGTATTTAAAGTTGAATAATGGTTTCATTGTGAACCGAATCCTAATGTACAATTTCAACGGTGTCTTAGGAATTTTTTTTTTTTTTATATATTATTATATACAATTTATTCTAGATATCTACATGTAATTTGCTTTAAAGGAATATCCGTTTTTCCCCTTTTGGACGTCGAATAAATATTAGTATAAGATTAGTATGGGGGTATAACGAAGTTTCGAACCCATGCACGATGATGTGGTAACTTCGAGAACTCAACGCGTATGTATTGATATATTCACAAATCACAATGCATATAGCGGGGTGTAATTAATAATGAAATTTCATCTTTTGTAACAAAATAAAATTACAAATATCCCTTCTTTGATAATCGTTTGTGCAAATATTGTAAATTTGTAATTCATATTGAGTTTACTCCCAAATTTGATTATCGCTCGTGCCAATAGGAAGGCTTCTCTAGTTACACTCTTTTCCAATCGCTCGGCCAATAGTACTCGCCTAAGTTCATACAGAGTGAAACTCACACACCTCGAAACCAATTTTGTCGAGTAAATTTTCATATCTTGGCCAGTCTCTAGGTTGTAGAACTTTTGTCATCGCCATAGCACAGTCGGACACCATCCAATGTAAATGCATCTTAATTCCGCAACCAGCCGGTCATTGTAGCGCCGAAGGCATCCACTATGAAGCAAACTTACCATAAACATCTTGTAATATTTTCCTCCACTTAATACTGACGCATTCGCCCATGACAAAGACACATTGCACTTAACCACACCTTAGCTCGATTTGGTTAAAGAGATCGAACCCACAAGGTAAAAGAGATGAAGAAAAAAAAAATATTGGACTAATGGTTTGGCCCGGGAGAAAAAAGAAACGGTGAATCCACTAAAATTTTGCCAAAGTTCAACTTTAACAAGTTGGGTGGTCGTAACTCTCAAATCCCTAATCATAGGGGTCGCGTCATCCCCCCCCCCCCCTGGGTTCTCCATAGATTTTGATTTGGCAGCTTAAATATTTTTGTTGTATGTACACAATTCAAATTTACACAAAAGCAGACTATTGATATAAGGAGATAGTAGCAAATCCACTAGCCAACTTGTGTTATAGATTGGTCCATGAACCTATTCATCTTTTAAGTTGTATCGCTCGTTTTTACAGCCACAACAATCATATGTAAATGTGAGTGACCACTGACTGATCGTTCGTAGGTTATCGCAAGATAGAGACGTTAGTCTTCTATTTCTTGTAAATGAAACTCCACGAGACCAGAAAAATATTCCTCCACCTGTCAAGTTGTTTACTTGGTAACGGTTAGTGCTTGCTCAGTAAGTGTTTGATAGATTTTTTTTAATAACCGTGGGATTTCAAAAAATTCCTAGATCCAAAAATTAATCTCACGATACCTTGTATCTGGGAATGCGTGGATGATTAAATCCATTTACAGTGCGTTTAGGTGACCAATAATGCTATTCGAACCCAAAGCGGAAACTCCACCTAAGTCTATTTACCACTAGGTCAAAACGACTTGGTTAGTAATTGTTAATCGAACCAATTGACTCTAGTAGGTAGTAATTAGAGGATAAAAGTTTGGAAAATATTTTGTTTCTTACCAAATAGAGGCTCTAGTATATTTTTGAACTTGTATTCGTTTCTGATCATTAGACCCAATTACAATTAGTTATATGTAAAGTAAAATTTAGAAGTAGATATGTGTTGGCATGTTGAATTATCATGTCATTCTTAGCTTCCCATTCCTCTTTATTGTCTTCTCTTCTTTTTTTGAAATTTGCACTTTGCATGATATTTCTAGGCGTTTGCTTCATTGTTCTGTTGGTTATTGGAGATTTGGAGAAGGTACATTCCCTATTGGGGACCTCTTAACTAATGTTGAAAATCATGGCTTATGTAGCAATATGCCAATCTACATTTTATAGTAGATGATATTCTTATTGTGTCTCTAGTATCATTGTAGGTAAGTTGTAAAATCGTGTGAGAAAATCATATTACTATGTATATAAATTATGAACATAATATAAAGCAGTGCACGCTTCTTTGTCACAAGTACAACAAGGATATCATGCATTATGCAACACAATAAAAGGCCTATGGAAAATTGACTGGAAACCAAATATTTTAATTAGGCCTGAATTTCTTGGGTTTTATACAAAGAGTTAATAACCAATATACCCAATTATAGAATCAAGTCCGGCCCTCCTTCAAGCGTTTCTGTTTATAAACATTTTGGATATTAACAACGAGTTCGAGCCCAACTACAAATTCAAAACCTCTCTCTAGCTTTCTACCTTAGATGAAAAAGCTAGAGGCCACGTACACACACATAAGCACTAAACGTATATTTTGTTATTAATGTGAACTTTTACAAAAATATGAGTTAATATTTGGCATCTCTCTAGCTTTCTACCTTAGATGAAAAAGCTAGAGGCCACGTACACACACATAAGCACTAAACGTATATTTTGTTATTAATGTGAACTTTTACAAAAATATGAGTTAATATTTGGCATCTCTATTTATGGAAATGTTGGTAGATGACTTGATGTATCTTGCTACTCGGAAACGTCTACACGTGTTGTTAAGCATATAACTTTCTACTAAGAATGTACACTATCTAGAGAGATGAACCACGAGGAAGAAGACACTTGCACCAATACAACATATGTACATAATTCAAATATAAAATTGGGATGATACTGGAGAAGTGGCGGTGCCACTATCATCACCAAGAAGAGCACTAAGAAGTTGCCGACCCACTTTTGTTCACCATTGTTCACACATATTGGTAAAGGCAAGTTACTATAACTTACGGGACTCTTACGTTCCATTATCCTCGGTTCTTTATAAATACATACAAAGACCAACATTCTCTCCATATACCATTAACTGATCCAACTTCACAAACGGCTTCTCTAGCTAGCTTCATTTCTTCTTAATCTTTCACAAAGTACATATTTTTATCAGTGACTGACCACAAAGAGGTAACTCTTTGTCAGTGACTGATTGTTTGGTTCGTAAAGGAAGTGAAAATCGGAAGCCTCAAGTTTTTAGGAGCTGTCTTCTTGGCTTTAGTAGTATTTGACATCTGTTTAGCAGCTAGGCCAAAAGCCCTTGGTAGAGGCTCCGGTTCCGGATATGGTTCAGGCTCCGTGGGAGGAAATCGTGGCGGAGGAGAAGGATTAGGTTCAGGGAGTGGCTACGGTGAAGGATATGGAAGCTGATACAGCGGAGGTGATACCTACGGTGACTCGCCCTAAATTATTTATATTGAGATATGAGGTTACTTTTACGTGATTATGAACGTAAAATAATGAGGTGATGGATTTTGTCTCGTCACACAAACATTCTTATATATTTTCTAGAATCTCCTTGCGTTATAAATGAGAGAGATGATGATATTGGTTTCCATTGGCAATAACATGCATATTTGCATGCATTATCTACGATTCTTATGACTATGTATATACATCATTTTCTACTATTCATCTTATAAAATACTTGGGAGACATCCATACATTTTGAGCGACATAAAGAAAGTTAGTCTGATTCCTTCAAATAATAAAACATTCACTACACATAATCCAAACAAAAAGAACAAAAAAAACATAAGGAAGAAACTGGACTTGAGCTCCTATTGGTACGGATTGTTGCTTTAGGCTGTGGCTTTAAGCTATAGGTTGTAGAGATTTTGGCTTTTAAATTTTTGGTTTTTGTCTAAAACCTGAAATTGTGGCTTTAAAAAAACATGAACAAAATATAAGAATCTTTTTAAAAATTGATTTTAGAGGTTTTACACGAAATTTTAAATGGTCTAAAATCTAAAGTCTGATTGTTTAAAAGTTTGATTTTAATGACTTTACAAAATTTAAAGCTTGTAAAACCAGAATACACCGGGCCTTGAATCGCAGCAAATAATCGTATAAAACTGGCTTCTTGGGCCCAATAGGTATAACTTGAAATAGTAATGACACTTACAGGCCCTAAACTTGTATGGATTTGCCGGTGCGGCATGGAGACAGAAGTTGACTGGTCTAGTCACCACTAAAACTCCCCACGTTTTTCTTTCCATAGTTTTCCCCCACAATATTATAACTGATTTATAACTCCTCGTTATGGAAATTTATACAGATTTATATGGACCAACTCAAAAATTATTACGACCAATCTACGCATATTTTGTAAAAGGGGTTCATGATATTGTGTAGCCACAGTGATCCATTGAATAGAAAAAAGAAGACAAAATATTTAAATATACATATATTCCTATCTACAGAATTGATAAACGTGGTATGTAAGGTGTGTGTGTGTAACAAGTCAGTTTCATGGATCATGGCCATGGGGCCACGGTATTATTACGAAAACAGACCGTTTATATTTAATGTAGGCTCTATGTGGGGTGCGAATAGCTCCCTATCAATCAGACACCTCCATGCCTTTTGATTTCCTTAAATTATTGATTTCGTTAGGATGAAAGCCGAAACTGAAGTTTTCCTATATGTATCCACTTATTCGTACTGAATCTCCTTAACAGTGACTTTGTAACATTACTATTTCATATTTGGAATGGAAAAGTAAGAAAGTAAAAGCATCTCGTAAATTTTCAGAAGCTGACATTAAAGAGCCTTGTACAACATATAATATAATGCGAAAATGTTGACCAAGAAAATATATGTTGAGGGGTATGATTAGACTGAATTTTAAATGAGAAAGAATGCTAAAAAGGTGTAACAAAACGAGGTTGTTGAAGAATTTGACGCGTTGCGACAAAAAAAAAAAAGACGTTGACGAGCTTTTCTCTTTAAGCGGCAGGTTAGAATCATCATAATCAGATACTTATAGGTTAAATCTAAATGCGTTTATTAGTTAAGGGACCTAATCACTATATTTCACAGAGTTGCGAGAGCGTTTCTCGTTGAGGTCGTTATTTTTAGATATTTGTAAACTGGGCCCGATGGATTTATAGTGATCAAATTGGGTCCTAATCTCTTCAATGTATATGACAATAGATGTCGCCATATTTGTCTTTGTCTACCGGATTCTGTCCTGGTCTTGATTTTTCTTGTCATTTCATACAAATTTTAATTTTAATTTATGAAAGAACAAAACTATACAAGAACAAATATATTTGCAATAAGCGAGATCAGCTATAGATAAAGAATTATAAAACTCTTGTTTTATGTAAATATTATAGTCTTGAATTAATATAATTATTAATTTTTGTTAAAATTTGACTTAAATCTAATCGTCGGCAATGGTAGTAAAAGCCACATATCATTATTTTACGGGTGCAAAAGCATGAGAAACTGAAAAAGAGGATCTAATTTGGAATAAAAGAATATTTGGCTCGTTTCTCTCTGCGTCGGTGACGTGAAGCTTCCCTGCTGGAAAAAAAGCTCACATGCGTAATCTCAGTTTATATTTAGACAGCAACACATGTCCGAACACAACACACTTCTATATCTGTTTTGAATTCAACTCTGCTGTCCTTTTTCATCAAATTATCCAATTGATTTCGTTGTCAAATATCTCAGAATAAAAACCATCTATATTTCGACGAATGTGTGTATAAAAAAAAAAGTCTTTCTTTTTTTTTTGTCCTGATTAAGTTTTTTCTTTTGGAATCGGTCTGAAACTTGGACAATTAATCCGCCATTTTCTCCTCGGTCTCTCTACTCATCTCTTCAGTATCGGATCTGTGTCTCCTTCTCTTTCGTTTCAAGGTACAAAAAAACAAGTTTCAAATACTTTTCTAATTTCATTCACAACATTTTCGTTCAATATTTTTCGTATTTGACTCGATGAAAATTAATTAATTCATTATTATTAATTTATATGTTTTTTCCCCCTAAGTCACGGCACCGAAAAAAGCAATAACACAGCTGTTCCTTGGTTCATATCCGAAATTAGTTACCTACTTTTGACAGTATCTTGAATACAAACATCAACTAAACTTCAATGATTCAATCCAATCTCTATTTTTATTCTTATCTATATATATATATACCACGTGATTTTCGATTAGGTAATTATTTATATTCCACACTAAAGTATTTATTGATTGACCGAAAATTAAAGTTTGTGATTTTAATTTTGCAGAATTTCTCTCTGGAGAGACAGACACGTTAGCTGTAATTCAATTATTTACTTCTTTTGGCTTACTAAACGCGTCACAGGCGTCAATAAAAAGAAAAAGAAACTCACACACAGAGACAGATAGTTTGCGTATGTGTCTGTGTCCTTCCTCTCGATAGATCTTGATCTTACAGAACTTCGCTTCTTGTCCAAAGTGTGAACCTCTGTTCTTTTTTTCAGTTGAGTGGAAAAATGGGAATGAGTCTCGATTTTGATGTTGATCTTGAGAAAGGAACCGTCGATTGCGTCGATGTTTATACACAATCTCCAGAGAAGCTATCGATACCGTTGTTTCCAGATAATAAACCGGTTATAACCGGAGAAGAAACCGTCGGTTCGTTAGAAAACGATGCGGCTCCGGTTCAGTTTGCGAAACCGGGATGGGGAAGGAGTGATCGGAAGGAGAATCGTAAGAAATCGGCGTCGAAGCCTCCTCGGCCGCCGCGTGGACCGTCTCTAGACGCAGCTGATAGGAAGCTGATAAGAGAGATCGCTGAATTAGCGATTCTGAAACGCGCGAGGGTTGAACGTTTGAGAGCTTTGAAGAAATCGAGAGCGGTTAAAGAAGCGTCTGCGGCTTCTTCTCTAGGCAATGTATTGGCAACGCTTCTCACCGTTATATTCTTCTTTGTACTCGTTTTGCAAGGTGTGATTTGATTATTGCGATTGCGTTTGCGTTTTGCTTTTGTTAAGTTTGATTAATCTTAATTGTTTTTTTTTTGAAATATTCAGGATTGTCTCCGAGAGCAGCCGCTAGCTCCGGGAGATCTCCCTTAGTAGATGGTGGTTTAGTTTCGGTTCAGTATGTAGGGAATCCGTCTGCGAGTGAACCGGATGGTGGTTATACCGGTCCAGGTTTAGCACAGAGATTACCGAAGTAAGTTGTCTCTAAACTGGTTAACAAGAGCAGTTATCTTTTCACTGTCTGAATAACTTCTAATCCTTTTATTTATGTAATCGCAGTTTACCAAAACCGGTTTCCGGTTCGAAAAGAAGATGAATAGAGTTTTACATTGAAGTGTAAACCAAAGAGCTGGAATTGGACAATCTCATCACTGGTTCATCAAACCATTTGTCGGTGGACCATGTACTCTGACCGATAAAATTTTGGGGCAAAATCGGCTGCTTTCTCGGCGGTTATGAAACAATAAACTATCTGATGTGGGTAAGATTAGTTTTGTAATGTTTTTTTCTAGAAATAAAGTGAGAAAGATTACAAAAATAAAATATCAGTGTTGTGTATACTAATATAATACAATTGGGATTATATTAGTAGATGATTGTTGTGCTTTTGAAGAATGCAATGAAGCCTCCAGATTTTGACGATATCAAAACGTAGAATAATATACGAAATCATCATTATTGGTATACTTTTATAATTTATATATTTGAAATCACATGGTAGTGATGCTTGAGTTGAAATTTAAAATCAATTATTTATATTTTATTTTTTTGAACATCTTAATATTTGGAAACAGAATCCATGTGGCTGTACCCACTGAGCTTAAACACCAACTCTTCAAAATTAAGTGCACATGGAATTCCACGTGTGTGTATTTCAAATGTCCATAATATCTGTTTAGTTGCTGTCGCCGGATGCTTCGAGGGGCCATTAATTAAGGCCCAATACGTCTTCTTCTGCTCTGATTTCTTTCTGGACGAATCTGTTCTAAGTTTTGAATTGCCATATCTCATCTCAACTAAACAAATATTAGCAAAAATGCAAGAAATATAAACATACAAACAGAAATGAAAACGATATTAGCGCATCTTCAACTCAATTCTATTTTTTACTTCAAAATAGAGTAAAAGTGACTATAAAGTAGAAAATGTTTTAATCCAACTCTATTTCTTATCCCATAATGAGATTTACATCATAAATTTATATCATAAATTGAATAATTTATTTTTTCTTTGTTTACTACTTCATTATAGAGTTCAAAATAGACGGGAATTTGAACATTTTTACTCCATAATCACTTTAATTTTATTTTAGAGAAAAAAATAGAGTTTTACATTGGAAATACTCTTAAGATTAACTATTTTGCGGTTAAGCTTATTCTACATGCAAAGCAATATTAAAATCTAACACGAAATAATCAAAATTTGACCAAATCGAAATTTTCCATCGGAAAGAATATTAAGCAATTCTTTAGGATGACTCTAAAAAGGTTTTTTCACAAGTATAGGTTGTATAGCCATTAAAGATCAGACCAAAATACATTTCATTGAAGAGGTAAATAGATATTAATATCTGAAGCTTGTTAGGTACGAAACTTCTTATTGGAAATGCACTGTCCACTCAAACAAACAACGATCGTCTATTGTGACAACAACAAACTAGATATATATTTTGTTGGTGAGAAAGTTCAAATGGGAAATGTAAGAGTCTACACATCCCGTCATCGTTGCAACACGCGGACATATATACCAAAGGCCTTCTGTCAACCTTGTTCAATGACTTTCGATCCGGTTTAGGCGTGACCGATCCCTATGTTACAACTGTGGGAGATGATAAAATATCGAAGAATATTCTTATCTTGTTTAAACAATTATGTATAGACTAGTACTGCATGTGAAAAAAAAAACCATATTCTTAAAACTATATTCATACTAAACGAGCGATTAACACATTGGATTACATTTGTTGCTTTCAATCCAAGTACTGCATGTGAAAAAAAATACTGCATGTATCATTTTGTTGATGAGTACTTCTCTTACTTTCCCCTTCCCTTTTTGAAGTAGTTAATTATTAGATTAACTAGATTTTATACTCGTGCTACGCGCGAATCTGTATTAATAATTTAGTTTAGCTTTAAAATAATTTAAAACAAAAAAATTAATTGGGTAACATAATTTTATTATTTAAAATATAATTTTTAATTTAGTGTTTGTGTTTTCGTATAATTATGTTATCTTATTAGCTATTTAGTTATTTGTATTTGTAAATATAATAATTATGTTGTAAACATATTCATAATTTTTAGAAATATTAATTTATATTTTATAATATTAAATAGATTTCTCAACATGTAAACGGTTAACACGTTATAAATTTTCATCATACATTTTTATATTTTTAACAAAAT